GGATAGGACATAGATTAACGATAGGTACGCTTGAGTGGAGCTCCTAACCATCGTCTTATGTTTCTCGCCTCCCAGATACCCTTATAACGCTTGTGGGTGTTTCGAAGACCCGGAAGGTCGTGGACAACGTACCGATCGTTTTCGAGAATCTTCTTAATTTAATATGGACCGCGAAACTTAGAAAGCAACTTTTTGAAAACGCCGTGGGTGGTATCGTGATTTCGGATTATTACGAATTCTCCTGTTTTATAGGTATGCGAAGCCTTGTGTTTGGCGTCAAATGCTCTTTCTTGATATGTTTGCGATTTCGCGATTGTATCAACCGCTTTAACACGCTTAATCTGGATATACCTGTCGCTGGGAAGATTGGTGATTGATACTAACTCTTTTATCTACGCACGAACTTCGATTCCAAAGACGAGTTGACTAGAAGTTTGTCCGGTTTACCGATTGGCAGAGTTATTAAGGGCGTATTCGATTTCAACTAAAGCAAGGTAATAATGCTTTCCAGAAACCTTATCTGATAGTTTCGAAAGCATAAAGAGTACTGTGTGGTTTATGCGTTCCGCCTGTCCATTTGCTAGGGCAGATCCAGTAGCAACTTTGACATGCTTTATATCACCTGTCTTGACAAATTTCTCAAAACCGGCAAAGGTGAAAGCACTACCGCGATCGGAAATAATGACTTTGGGTTTGCTGTAGCACTGTAAATACTGATCTAGACATTTAATAGCTTCCCTTGCACTGGTGGTTTTCGTAGCAAAGAAGCGAACAAATTTCGAAAAGGCGTCTACTATTAGGAAAATATGTTTTTTGGCGGCTATTTGGTTGTCAATGGGCCCAATGTGATCAATGTGCACGGTTTCGAAAGGGGCTTGACCCTTTAGGTATTGAGTATAGAGTTCTTTCTGGTTTGTCTGAAGTTGGCGAAAAAGTTATACATTTAAGACAGTTACGGATATAAGATTCACATTTTTCCCGAATAAGAGGAAACCAGTAAGAATTTCTTATTGATTCAATCATCTTGCTAACGCTAAGGTGGCCCATTTCATTGTGATAATGGAATAGAACATGGCTTTCCATTCCCGCAGGGACTAAGAATAATAGTTTAGAGCAGTGCTTTTTATATACAAGACTGTTACGTAACTCATAGTTAGAGTCCTGCGACCTTTCGAGTTTATCTATAATCCTCCTAATCACAGGATCTCGGCTTTGAGAGACAATGAGGTTGCACTCAAAAGGATTGTCCTCAATTGCTAGAATACCGAAAGATCAGCTGAGGGTATTGGCATGACCCATGCGCACACCCGAGCGATGAACCACTTTGTGATCGAAATGTTGCAACTCAAGGCTCCATCTGGCGATGCGGTTGTTTATATCTCGCTTTTCTAATGTTCGAGTAACCGCACTATTGGAAACTATAACGAACCAGATTCCCTGTAGATAGATACGGCAACGGCGTAACGCATACATTATCGCTAAGGTCTCCAACTTGAACGAGTGGAGAGTATCTAGAATATCTAGTTTCCGCTTTGGTGGTACGTTTACTAAAATAGAAAACAGAGTGCATTTTTTTATCATGTTGTCGCTGCATCAGAACTGCTTCGAACTCTTGGACACTAGCATCATAGTATTCCGTGTACACCTTACTATCATAGATAAACAAGGTACGTGCTTCTGTTAGCATCCTTTTCAACCAATGGAAGGCGGTGTTTTCTGCTGCTCCAAATGTAAAGTTAACGTCCTTCTTGAGCAAGTCGTATAAAGATTTCGCGATAATAGAAAATCCGGCTAAATTTCTGGAAGTATGACGCTAGTCTGAAGAAACACTGGAACTCTCTTGTCGTCTTGGGCTCGGGAAAGTTCTGCACAGCGGCCACACTTCTATCATTTGGTCTTATCCCTTCAACACTAATCTTATATTCTAGATATTCGATCTCGGTACATAGAAACGAGCATTTATCCAATCTCAGTTCGAACCCGTTTTCTGTTAAAACTGTAAACACTTTCCGAAGTGTATCTAAATTAGAAGCTAAATCTTCGCTAGCCACAAAAATGTCGTCCATGTATACGACGACGCCTTCTCTAAAAAATTCTGACATAACATCATTGATGAATCTTTGAAAACATTAGGGGCCTATTTTCAAACCGAAAGGCATTCGCACGTACTCAAACTGTTCCATTGGCATAACAAACGATGTATACTTTATTGAATCGGGCGACATTTTAACATTTAAAACCCGTTTTTAAGGTCAAGCGTGCCGAAGAATCGTTTACCTCTCAACGTGTCGAGCTGGTCTTCAATTAAAAGAAGAGGGTAATTATCGCGTGCTATGACTTTGTTTAAGGCGCGATAGTCCACACACATCCGTATCTTTCCATTTTTCTTCCGAGTCAATACAATAGGCGATGAATATTCGGACTTGCTCCTGCGAATTATGCCTCGACTCAGTAGATTTTCTAATTTTTCTTGCATCTTCATTTTATCGGCAAAGATTAACCTATGAGGACTAAACTGGACAATTTGGCTATCCTTTACACTAATGGTAGCTTCGCTTTTCACCTTAGGTTCAGCGGGACGACAATATGACTCAATAAAGATAGTCTTGAACGCTGAACGATAATTTACGGAATCTCGGGATTTATATAAATCTGCTCGACTTGACTATTGCAATCGACGTCTAAACTAAGGATCTACTTGACCTCGTTGTATTCTATGCTATTACTTAGCCGATCTCTGAACAGTTTTAAAGCGTCCCTTTAAAGTGTGACTAGTCATCGTGTTATTGTCAACTATACCGAAAACAATTGACTTAGTAACGCTAGTTAACCGTCTAACACTAGTTCGCACCATACCTCAAGTCTAGATTTATTTATACCGTAATATTTGATCCACTCGCGACATGCTTTTTTGAGCAGCTTACTGTTAACTAGTTGCTTTTTTATAAGATTGATCGGGCACCCGATATCGATTTGCAAAATACAAGAAAATGACTCGGTACCTTTAATATCGCATCGAATAGACCTTTGGTATTCGTTTAGACGGTTTTGTTCTAATCTATGACAGTTACTAAATCTATTACGCAGATTTCTTCCTACTCTGGGTGGACTTCGCTGTCGTCGTATTCTCCGTCGGTGGAGCATTTGGATCTGCTGTTCCTGTTCTCACGGATAGTTCCGACTTGTCGTTTGCCCAATTTACCTGATTGGATCTTTTTCGGTTTGTCGTCTTTTCCATCCATTATTTTCTCCTTCATCGGGCAGTTCTTTAAATAATGGCCTGTTTGGCTACAAGTATAACATTTAGTAGCCCCTAGGGCAATTGGTTTTGTCGTCGGTATCGCCTGACCCCCGCGGATAGCAAGGTGATCTTCCCGGTCTTCCCGGTGCATTCTTTCGTGACAATGTATTGGAGCCTGGTCTGGTAACCTCCGGTGCTAGCGAGATTGCTTTAAATGCCTTGAGTACTGCTTGCACGTTGGTAAAAGACTGCATGCGTGCCTGGTTATGCAGAATGTTCGAAGGTATGCTGTCAACCAGGTACGCAACGAACTCGTTTTCCTTGAACGATATACGATTCCTCAGAATAATCTTGTCGTGCCAATACTCATTGAAAAGTTCTTCTTTCTTCCATTTCCTCGCATTGAATTTGGGCCGCAATTCCATTCGCCCCATAGGCTGCTCGAAAATATTACCCATCTCTTGAAGGAGGTCGTCCAGGCTCATCGATAGATGCTCCGCTCGGGATTGGTACCATCGTTATGCTTTTCTTTGATCCGACCATGAGCTTTGCCGCGCTCTCAGTCAGTTCATACGTCTCGCGCAGCAAGTTAACCTGGGCTTTTCATAGCTGGAAGTCCTCTCCTGATCCATTATAGTCGCCCAATAATTTGCCAACACTCCTTATGTCGATAGTGGTAAACGAATCTACCGACATTGCGCTTATAGGTGATCTACGTAACAATTTATTTTCTCGCCTTAGTATTTATATTTCCTTTTGCATGAACTCTCTCTCTTTCTCCGCTAGATGGCGCTCGCGACGATCCAGATCGTCCCCATGTCGGTCATGCGTGTAAGCGTCCCCGTTTCGTCCACTCGCTGCTTTTTCCCGACCGTCAATTGTTTCTCCTTGGTTGCTGACCGCCTTATCCTGTTCAACGACAATTTCCTCCTCCGATTCGGAGGCGTCGTCACAGGCCTTATGTATCCACCCGCCGGTGGGATTTGCATCCTGAAGCTTAACTATGAGCTCATTTTTTCGCCCACTCGTTTTCAATCGGCGTTGTTTCAACGCTTGTTTCAGCTGTGCCACACTTAATTCTTGGGAATTCATGTTACTACAGGTGTACGCCGCAACGAACAATGACGATTTCCTCCTTGTGCACACAAAGCCGCGAGGTGCCTCTTACACACATTCACTTACACTCATTTTCTCTCGCCTCCAAATTTCTGCCGTCTCTTGCCAGCGTTAGTTTTATTCCCTTTGTTCGCACTAAACTTGCAAACTTCGGTCACATATTGAATATGGCGCATGAGTCTTCTCTGTTGTTGTAGGACGTCCCATTCCACGATGCTTATATTCGATTTCGGCGGGAAATCCCACTTCTAAAGTTGTAGGACGGCTGGTCTTCAGATAAAGGGGATTCTTATTTGCTATGTACACACTCTGTATTATTAGTAATTATTTATTAACGCCAAATACACCTTGACATGTCCTGCTAGTTTCGCGGTTGTCACTATATTGCCCCTATCGCTCTTTCCTTTCTTTCGGTCTTTTTGCGGGAGAGGGAAACGCTAGACTGTAGCAGTAGAGTCGCAAATATCATCGGCCGCTGCCGATAACTGTAGGGCCCTACATAAGTGTCTTTATTACGTATTGTGGTTTACTAAAATATATAGAATTCTAATTTTACCTTATTTTATATTTCCGATTTCGGGATATAACAATGATTTATATCCAGAACAAAGATATTAAAAAAATATATATTGAATTGGTCAACATGATTATACCAGGTATGTAAATATGAAACCGGAATTTTTGTATAGAAAATACACGTTTATTGTATGAAAATGATAAAAAATATTTTATTCGAAGTATTGCCCATCGCTAGCTATACATTTTTTCCACCTGTCTGACAATTTGTGGATGCCACGCCAAAAAAACTGTTGCTCTTTTGAAGCAAACCAGTCATCGAGCTATTTTCGTATATTTTCGTAAGAAGTGAAGCGCTGCTTGGCAAGTGCATGTCCCATCGATGCAAATAAATAGTAATCGAACGGAGCCAAGTCTGGTAAGTAAGCCGCATGCGAAAGTATTTCCCAACTAAACACCTCAATCGTTTCCTTGACCAGTTTTGCAGTGTGTGATGGTGCATTATTATGAAACAAAATCACTTTGTGTTGCCTTTTTTTATATTCTGGTCGTTTTTCACGCAAAGCTTGATTCAAATCGATCATTTGTTGTCGGTAGCGTTTAGTATTAACGGTTTGGCCAGGTTTTAGCAGCTCATAATAGATCATATCCTTCTGATCCTATCAAACACAGAGCATTGTCTTCCGTCCATAGCGATTTGGCCTTGCAGTCGATGTCGATGGTTCGCCTGGAGTTACCCATGATCTTTTACGCTTAGGATTCTCAAAATATATCCACTTTTCATCGCCAGTCACAATTCGATGGAGAAATGACTTTCTTTTGTACCTGGCGAGCAGCATTTCGCAAGTGGTTTTTCGGTTTTCCTGCTGTCTTTCATTCAGTTCATGTGGAACCCATTTTCCCATCTTCTGGATCTTTCCCATGGCTTTCAAACGTATGGAGACGGTTTCTCGTGTCACATTTAATTGATCCGCGAGTTGTTATTACTTTTGAGTGTCATCCTCATCCAACAATACTTGCAATTCGCTCTTTTCAAACTTTTTCGGTGGTCTTCCACGTTCTTCGTTTCTCACGTCAAAATCGCCACTTTGAAATTTTTTAAACCACTCAAAGCACTGTGATTTACCAAGAGCATGCTCACCGTAAGCTTCGACAAACATTTGATTCCGCAGCAGTTTTCTTCAAATGGTAACAGAAAATCAATGCTGTCCGCAAATCGTAGTTTCCAGACACAAAATTCGACATGTTCAACGCTATTACAAACAATGCTGTTGTTTGAAACTTGTATTGTTGTGAGTTGAAAATCTTTGTCAGAGATGTCAACAAGGAAATGGCGCCAATGACGCGGTTTGACGATAACTACATTGACAGCTAGGGCCATCTATGGGCAAATTGCGGTTTCATATTTACAGACCTGGTATATTTAATTAGACTGATTTAAATATATGATTTACATTTTTTATAAAAAAAGAACAAATAGTATTAATAAAAAATAAATGATATTGTAATGGTGTTCGATTCTTCGAATATACTTTCCGTCAGATAGCTCAGAAGTCGTTCGAGTTCGAGGGGAGGCGCAAGCCGTGTCGCGTTACTCCACGCCACTTGATTGACCCGCATCGCCAAGTTACCTCTCGGCGAAACCGGTGGTCGTTGCCCCGAGTCAATTCTCGAGACAATGGCGTAACACTGCGGCCTTTGTGAATGCCCATACTCTGAGTCACTCCTCAGAGCAGCGACGGAATCCGAGTGACTCTTTGGATGTGCGGGGAGTTTTTCGGCGTGAAAACACCGGTTTGCGGTGTCCAACGTTCTTGATTCTCTTAGTCGGGGAGTTTTGGTTTTCGTCGGAGAATCGTTGCTTCGGATGCGTCGACTAGCTCTAGCGAAAAAGGTGCTAGTCGGCTCGCCCCGGCAGGTCGAAGTCTAGCGTCGGACAATGAGTGCCTCTCGGTGCCGGCGCGCTTTCTCTTATAGGGCCCACTACGCGGTTTTGCTTGCGAGAAACCGGCGCACAGTAAGCATTTCAGAAATTTACTGCTCAAAATGTCCAAAGTCCTTAATTTTTAACCGATTTAGATGCATTTTTTTTTAATTTTTGATGAATAAATTCTCTACAAAACTGTCGAGGCCTATTTATCAGAAAAATGTTTATAAAATTTTTAAATCGCATAAACTGCGAACCCAACAATTCTAGCTATTACATCACTGAGCTCGAACCACTCTAGTAACCTTCAACATATCTCCATGTTTTCAAAGCAATTAACCCTAAATCTCATAATCTAAGATCTAATAAGCTCTAGTAATAAGTAAACATTTATAATCAGTCACGATTACTAATGTATTCACATGGGTATATGAGTCTTCCATACCACCCAGGAGGTGCCGTTACAGGCGCATTAGATTTTTTTACAATAAATCTTCGCCTTGAACCCTATCTTAACATTGTCCCTGCCAGACACTCAACAAACTACGCAAAGGTATGAATCTTCAAAATCGGTGATAAAGTACTTATTGTTGTAAAAGAAGTTTTCATACTCAGAATCAATGTTCCTGATTTTGTATGTCCACTTCTTTATAAACGAAGCGATATACGCGTCTGATGAAATTGTAACCGCGATACGTCGCGTTTCGGATCGCTCGTTGGTTCGGGTTCGTGATAGACGGAATAATTTAGAAACAGTGTTTTCAGTAACAACTTAGCAATATATTTAAATAATCAGCTGATGATGATTACAACTACATCAAATAATGCGTATCGACGCCGTTGGTTTTGGTCGTTTGTATACTGTCTGTCAGAGGCTTGTTTACGAGTATCGCGGCTCGCGAGATGTGAGGCGTGGTACGCGGGACGCGGACGGTGTAAGTGTCGCGTATTCGCGAGTTTGCATTGTTGATGTTTCTCGGCGTCTCGTCTCTTTAATTCTCGTTGACAACTTCTTGCGATGATTTTTTAGCTACGCTTCGAGATAGTACAGTGCACGCGGTCGGTAAGACTGCAGCTGGACGTAGCTGGACGTAGGGTATTACCTTAGTGGCGATACTTTCGATCTCCTATCGCGGAGATTGGATGCGGTCCGGCTCTTCGCCGACAAAAGGGACGTGCGGATAGTGCGCCTCACGAAGAGGGCCAACATCCGGGTCCGGGACCTAGGCGACGCGGCCGCCGTGGAGGACGTAATCTCCGCGGTGGCGGTCGCCGGGGGCTGCGGGCCCGTAGAAATTAAGGCCGGAGAGATCCGCCCTGGACCCGACTGCATGGGGACACTCTAGTTACGGTGTCCCCTTGCGGTCGCGAAAAAGATTGCGGACGGAGGACGCATACGCGTTGGGTGGTCCTCCGTCCGCGTGGAGACCCTGAGCAGCCGCCCCCTCCAGTGCTTCAAATGCCACGTCAGGGCCTTCTGCAGGAGTAAGGCCGACCGCAGTGGTCTATGCTACCACTGCGGATCGGCCGGCCAGAGGGCCGCGGCGTGCGACGCACCGGCGACATGTCCGGTGTGCCGCGACGCCAAGCAGCCCTGTGACCATAAAGTGGGAGGCCCCGCCTGCCAAATGGCTAGGCGGGGCAAAGGGGGAAAGGGTGGGAGGAGGAGGCGCAAAGCCTCCAACACCTTTCCCACCGCACCTCCAGAGAAGGAAAAGGAGCCTCCCCCCTACTAGAAGGAAAGGCTCCAGTAGCTGAGACCTCGGTCTCTCCGGTGGACCCTGCCCCAAAGGGGCAGAGGGAACCGCGGGGGACCGGGGCCGGTAAGAGGATCGCATCGCGGGAGAGGAAAAACCCAGTAGAGGGCCCTTCTCCCGCGAAGAAGATAGGGGAGGACCTGGAGGAGTGCGGAGCTAACCCACCCTCGTGGAATCTCGCCCACTTCGAGCGCCTTCTGGACCGGCTGGGGGACCTTATGTCGAGGCGCCCCCAAAAGCCGTTCCTGGTGGCCGGGGACTTCAATGCCAAATCGACGTTGTGGGGGTCCTCGGCCGGGTGTCGAAAGGGCGAGGCAATGAAAGAATGGGTCGCGTCTCACGGCCTCTATGTAATTAACAGGCGCCGTAGGAGCGCCTTCGTCGGGCCGCGGGGGAGATCAGTGATCGACGTCACGCTAGCGTCTCCCCAGGCGGCCCGACTGATCCAGAATTGGCGGGTGGTGACCAGGGGTGAAAACCCCTCGGACCACAGATATATCGTGGTCCGACTGGTCGCCGCACCCGAGGAGGTGCTCCTGAGGCGCGGCCAGGGGGGTGCCCGGCCACCAAAATGGGCCCTTCATAAGCTCGACCGCGACAGGTTGGCGGCCGCCCTAACGGCGGCCACATGGACGGACCCGGGCCCCACACCGGCGACCTGGTCCTCCATTGAGGCTGAGGCGGCCGGAATCGTGGGCATGATGACGGTGGCGTATGATGCCGCCATGCCCCGATCTCGGCCGCATCCCCACCGGTCCGTGTACTGGTGGTCGTCGGAGATCGTCGAACTTCGGCGCTCCGCCGGCCGAGCCAGGCGAGAAATAAATCGGCGGGGAAGGGATAGTGAGGGCAGGATAGCCGCCGAGGGGGCCTACCACGAAAAACGGGGCGCCCTCAAAGCGGCCATCTTTACGGCCAAGGCCCGTGCCTGGGACGACCTGATCTCCACCATCGACAGGAACTCATGGGGGCGCCCTTATCACATAGTGATAAGACGCTTGTGTAATTGGGCGCCCCCTCGAACGGCGTCCCTGGACCCCGACTTCCTCGATGAAGTGGTAGGGGCCCTCTTTCCATGGGGGGAAACCTGTATTCCCCCCTACGAGGCTCCCCCCAGACGGGGAGGAAGAGTCGGTCGGAGTCACCAAGGTGGAGATGGACAGGGCCGTCAAGAAACTCGGCGCCAACAAAAGGGCGTCGGGCCCCGACGGTATCCCAGGCACAGCGTGGCGATGAAGGAGGCAGAGGTGAAGAGTCGAGCAATGCGGCTCTTCACCTCCTGTATGAGGACCGGGGTTCCCCAGCCCCTGGAAGAGGGCCAATTTGGTCCTCTTCAGAAAGGGGGGCCAGCCGGGGGACAGCCCTTTAGCATATAGGATGATATGTCTTCTGGACGGGGCGGGTGAGTTTTTCGAAAGGATAATACAGCCCGCCTCGTCCACTTGTCCCGGAGTAGTGACTCTCAAAGGGAGCGGCGTGGTCTAGGCATGCCTTGAGGATTCCCCGCTGCTCCCATTAGCCAACCTCATCTCCGCGTAGTCGGGCAACGTCTGGACGCCGCCTCGTCCAGACGTCCGACGGGGCCCTGGCTGTCCGTGCGCCCCAAAGGGCGGACTCTTCCCGCTCATGTGCCTAGTCCATGGTGAGACGTGGGGCCAAGAAAGGACGAGCTTTTCCCAGCGGTAACGGGAACGGTGGCGCCCCCCACGAACCCCAGTGTTCGGAGGACTCGAGCGGTATGAAATCCGCAGAAACAGTCCACACCGTCCGAGCACTGGGACGAGTAGGAGTACCTCCCGGCCGTGCCGCTTCCTTCCCTTTCCAGCGGGAGCAGGACAGGGCGACGCCTTGGTAGGACCGGTACCTGAGCGGCTCGAGCGGTATGAAACCGTGCAGACAGCCTAGTTGGGCCGGGTACTGGTACCGAAAAAGGTACCGCCCAGCCGCGTCGCTATTCTCCCCCCTTTTCTCTTCCTTCCCTACATCTCTCGGAGAGCTATCCCACACTTGAGCAGTCCGTCACCCTCCGCCTCCCCCTGCCGCATCGATGATGTAGGGGAGGAGGCAGGGGCTGCCTCGCAGCCTACCCTGCGGACCCTGCGTCCCTCCGCTTCGGCGGTAGGGTCGACGGAACGGGGGGCTCTTTTCTTTTCAGGTGCAGGAGAACTACACAGCATTGCCGCGAGCACATAATTGGCTCGGCGCCGCGGCCGTCGGCCCTGGACGGGACCGCCATGGCGCTAGCGGCGAAGAACCCAAACATTCCACTCCCTCCTCTTCCTTTACTCTAAGTGACCCCGCCCTCCGTCCCGCCTCGTTGCGTCCGTGATTGAGGGGGGGGGGCATGGGCTGCCGTGACAATCTACCGGGCCCCTCGTCCCTCCGCTTCGGCGAAAGGGGTGACGAAACCGGGGGTATTCTTCTCTTTCAGGTACAGCAGAAAACACAGCTTGCCGCGAGCACGTAATTGGCTCGGCGCCGCGGCCGTCGAACCTGGGCGGGACCGCCATGGCGCTAGCGGCGAAAAACCCAAACATTCCACTTCCTCCTCTTCCCTTACCTATCGCGTTCCGCCTCCCCTCGATGCATCTTTGATGCAGGGAGGGAAGGCAGGGGCCGCTACAGCAACCTACCGGAGCCTGCGCCCCTCCGCTCCCCGCGGCAGGGTCGACGGAACCGGGGGTATATTTCTTTTTCAGGCCCGCAGGGGAGCAGTGTGATGTAGGCATGGCTCTGACCATCCCCACTGTGACCCCTTTCTTCTCATTTTCTTCTTCTTGTTCTTCTTCCTCTCTTCTCTTCTTTTCTTTCCCTCTTTGGAAGCAGCATGCCTGAAGGGCCGCCGGGTTAGGGAGTCCCGATATACCCCCGAATTATCTAATCATGGGCTCAAGGAGGAATATCGTTACCTGCGGCGGATCGGTAACGTCGCGCCGGCATGGGGGGATTATGCCCCCCCCCCCCAGGTCGTCATCCAGTGATGGGCTACGTGATGACTTCCAAGCCGGTGCGTCTGCGGCGGGCGCGACGGTGGCTAGGGTTACCGCCGTTGGAGCTTCGCCTCAAGGTCGCAGCCTTCGTGCTGTCTCGATTAGGCTGGTTAGGTGCGACGAGATGCCCACGCCGGATCGAGTGAGGCAAAATACAGTAGGAATCGGTGTAGGGTCCGCGTCCGCGTCCGCGCCCGCGTTTGCGTTCGCGAATCGTGATCGCTCGCTCGCAATGCCCCCTTAAACAGTTCCTGTCGATTCCTCTCAATTGTTAAGATCCACGGGCATTAAGGTTATGCAGCTGAACATGAGGCGTTCAGCTGTGGTTAGTGGCGAAGTCCGTCAGCTCGTAGCCGAGAAGCGACTGGATGTCCTGCTCTTGCAGGAAATGTACGTCCGGAAGCAAGGCTCGAGCTTCGCCATTCTCGGTCTAGGGCAGGGAACGACGGTTGCCGCTGCACGCTCGGAACGTCCGTGGGCTGCAGTGGCTGTCTCAAACTCATCGTTCCATATCTTGGAGATCTCGCAGCTCAGCACCGCGCACTGTGCGTGCGCGGATGTGCGGGCACCCGGCTTCTCCTTCTACGTCGCATCGTGCTACATCCAGTACAGCGACGAGTTTGAGGGGCTCCTCAGGCACCTCAAGGCAGTGTTTCATTCGCTGAGGGGGAAGAGATTGTTGGTAGGTATGGACGCCAACGCGCGATCCCCGATGTGGGGTGACCACAAGGTGAACGATAGGGGCGCGACGCTCGAGGAATTCATCCGCGCTTGCGGATGGAAGATCTTCAACGCTTCCGGACAGTCGCCGACCTACTGGACGTCATGGGGGTCGTCACATATTGACGTTACCCTGGCGACTCCGGCCATGAGCCAATTTTTCGGCGAGTGGAAGGTCAGGTGCGACTGGACGACGAGTA